CTCCAATTAGTACACGGCGCTCAAGCAATATGGGGGCAGTTTAGGCGAAATTCAGCTTTATTTATAGCAAACGATCATCAGATTATGGCATTTTGCTAGCTCGTGTATCTTGGAGGGTACAGAATTTTGACAAATACTGATGCAAGCCGGTTCAGGAAATATGTGAAAGTGCCAGATTCAGGTTGTTTTAATTTCCTGCAGTTAGTGGGAGAAGATGGTTAAATAACAGCATTTGAGAATGTGATCTTTTTTCTTATGGGAATGCACTACCACCCGTATTTCTACTCAGATTTTGTCTTCCGTAACGTACACAATAACCACTGTCTTTTGCATTAAATTGTGCATTTAAAGTTAGCTTTAGCCAAGCGTTCTTTTCGTGCTTTTATTTTGAAACTTTATGCAAACCTTCGTACGCACACTAGCGTGCCCATCAATATAATTCACCTATTTCCTTGGGTTTGGGTCCTTAGAATGTTTGTTTTCCAGTGATCCCGGCCATGAAGTCTTTAGATAGTATTGGAAGTGAGATATCTGGATGTGGACCCTACCCGTGGAAGTCAGTTGCACGGAAGTCACATTGTCATGCTTATTTACTCCATTACATGTACAACTCTTTGGGGTTTGGGCAGGAATATGAAAATAAATTCTCAGACCATGGCTTTAGTCTTTGGCACTTAAGTTTAACTCACATTATGCTATTATATATTCTCAACGCTGCAATTTAGTGGCAACTACAGAGGTCAAAAACCGTATACAGCTGGAACAAAGAAGGATTGCTTAACATCAACCACAGTCAATGGACCGAAGCAAAAAAGATCGACGACATCTGGCAGCGGAAATCTGTGGCAGACGCGCAAAACAACAGCAGCTAAGCTCATTTCCTTCTTGCTGATTCTTTTGTTGGTACGAAGTCCCATTCCTCGGAATAATAAACAAACCGCCCATTAAGTTAACAAATATGGTGAAAACTGTGTTTTGCGAATTTTACCCATAACAAATTATTTGAAATCACTCTCGTTCGTTTTTATTTTATTAGTTTAACTTTTCACGTATAACCGAAGCATTTTAATGATAATAAACTTGTCCTTGTCTGATTATGAAGGCTTATCATGTTATTACAAAATGTAAAATGCATTGAGTTTAAATTCATTAACAGCTTGTGGATATGTATGTATACAAACTCCTATAAATTCCATTCTAAATGGGGGAAAGATGGAGTAAAAAGTTAGCTCACCGTACATACCAACTCTGTCCTAACTGACAATTAGTTCTTGTACTCTCCGTAGGTGTCAGGTGATTTGGGTTGCCTGATTTCACTTCAAAATTCGTTCCTTCCGTTTGGTGAGTTTGGCCGTGTTGAGAAACCGTCTATCAACACTATGTCACACATTCTACGCTGCTGGGTCTCCTATCAGAATAGATGAAACTGCAAACAATTGGTGAAACATTGTGAGCGACACTGTGCATACGTGAACAAATGCAAATCGATATAATCACTCTATACTCTATAACCGATGGCGTAATTTCGAAAGCTGAGTGAGTGAATCTGAAGCCATGAACGCACTCAAGAGCGGGGTTGACTACAATTTAGTCGAACTGAGAAAACCTGATACTTTAATCTCCGAATGTACTGGGTAGAGGAATCGGTAACCTCCGCCATCCATGAAATACAAATGCGACATGCCGCTTCCTAAAATGATTTGGAAGTGGGGCACCAAACTCTGTAAATTGCAACAGCTGTTTTAAGCCCACCAATAGATGAGGTTACCTATTGCAAGGACGAAATACACTGCTCGTAAGGTTTCTAAAAACTCTTTGACCACCGGTTTTGTCCTTCTTGTCACTCATCAAGAAGGCGCAGTTCAAGAGTGTCCGTTTCCCAAAGGTTCTACTTGCACCAAAATTAGACGAAATTCGACCTATACACTTGTTTGCACACCAATTGGGTTTCGGCAGGAAACTGGGCTGGAACCCGGCTGAATCCTCTTTTGTGGTCTTCCCCAACCCAACGTGTTGCACCAGACCGCTTCATGATTCAGTTGGTAGGGTACTAAAGTTGAGAATATCGAGGTAAGAAGTTGAGAAAAACGTGACTGAAAGTAAAATTCATGCGCCTTCCTCATACAACTCACACCCAAATCGGATCACATTCACATGACCTATATTTGACCATGGTTTAGATCGCCGTGGTTCATAACATGATAACCATAGAAATCGCATGTGTTCAGGTTGCGAGAATGGCTTTCCGATGGCCACAGAAACTCGGAATCAATCTCCCCCTGGAAAGAACTTGGTGTATGTGGATGAATTATCGGCCACATCAGCAAATACAGCCACGATCATTACTGCAACAAACCTAGATACTCCTCGGGAGACGCCCAATAGCTCCACCTCTTCTAAGTGTGAGCCGTCTGCGGCAAAGCTGACACTGGTTCGGCTTCTAATTTCGTGTAACCTGTATTGAATCAGTTTCCCTTAAAATTTCCACCGAGAAATATGTACGGATAACTACAAGGCTTTTCCGGTTTTGTGACGAAATCATCAACCTTTGATACAAAAACAGGCTTCCCTTGAAGTATATACGAAGGAATAAGAGTATTTTTGGGGTCCCTAAGAGTTTTAAAAAAGATTGTTTAGTAAACCCATTACGCAGATTTCAGGAACGTGATGCAAACACACACAGTTGGAGCTCTTCATGCAAGCTTCACTAGACTCACCTTGCATCGAACATGTGGAATCTGTCCCAAGATTAGTAGTACACACATTTGCCTACTTTTGAGAAGGCCTATCTCGATTCTCCTTTTTTTCATGGAGGTCCATCCTGATGATGATGTCAATCCAGTTGTGGAATGCACTGCTGTCAGTCATTCTGCATGCCCTAATGAGTTGTTTACTGGACACAGAACAACACGCATGATTTAGGTTTCTTATAAGATAGGTTATCAGTTACATTGATTTGTCGGAATACTTCGCCTTAGTATTCTGGAGTATAATGAATAGTGGATGACAGGAAACAGTATCAAGTTCTGAGCTCAAACTAAAGCAACAACTGCGAGATCGACGCGAGAAAATGTCATCCAAACAAGAAACTACCACAGATAAACATAATTATTTCAAGTGCTTCACTCATGCTGTGGGTGCATGGGTGTTTGTGAGTCAATTCAAGCAGGCATTGTGAGCAACGGATGCTAGAGGGGTTGTTTCCGTAGACAAGCCTGTTTTTGTGGTCCAGACATTCAATACATAACGAAAGATATCCCCATCCAAGAGTTTAAGGCTTGGTTGGATGTCATCCTACTCAGTTCAAAGCATTTTGAATGGATAAGTAAATGATTAGATGTGGTTTATTTTGTGATATTTTGTGAATATTGATCTCCTAGTAAATTTCATCACGACGTAATCCGGTTGCCTCAGAAAACAGCAACGAACGTCAATTATGCCACCGAAATCATTTGCATTGATCCTTCAAATGCGTTAGCCTGTTGTCTGCAAAAGCTGCGTTGTACACTGGCAAAGGATGAAACGGACGCACCGTGCCACTTTTCCTAAGTTTCGACACAGATTAACTTCACACAGCTAAACCTCCATTGAAAAGATTCTGAATTTCCCCTCAATCAGACATAAGTAGCTCAGAAGGATAGTCCACACAGCGAGCAAACCTCTCATATGAAATGCCGTCACTCAGAGTGCCAGTCAATGCGTAAACATATGACGGGAGTTTGGTGATGAAGCGTAAGTGACGATATGAGTTAGCACATTGGAAGTGAATCGCCTCACTGCATAACCACTCTTGACCGAATCGTTCGGTGTTCAAATACTAGCTGGGAAGTTGCAACTCAGAATCACCTTGGAGGTTCGTAAGGGGCGGATAACTGATGATCCCCACATAGATAAAACAACCGTACAGGGTTTATCGCCTTTATCCCATAAACAGATTTTACTTACAGGTCCAAAAGATTTTGAAAATGTATCGGAATATTGGTTGCTTATCAAATGCTTTTGGTTTGTTCGTTGAGCTTGACAACTGGCATGCAAATGTTTCTGACTTGACACAATGTGTACGCGATTGGGGGCTAGTCTCTGTTTCCGTTTCCATAAATGTGTGTTCCCTCCTCTGTCTTGTTTGATTTAGTATGCTGGCACTATTGCACTTAAAATTGGTGTTCTCACTGTTCTTCAGTTGGAGAGATGAACAAGTGTTGGTCGTGTTTTCCAATAGACGGCTTGTGTTGACGGATACTAGTTAGAATCTTCCAGTACATGTGTTCCACCTGGTGAATGTCACAGTTACTGAATTGTTTTTTTTGGGGTATTGTATGGGATATTGTATGGTGCTAGGTTCTGTTCTTGGGATAAAGCATTCAAGTACCGTTGCTGAGTTCACGGAGGCGTCTCAAGCTAGATCTTGTAGACCACCAAAATCGAATGATCCTGAAATTACCGTAATGCCAGCGTTTGTATAGACTACCTTGGTCGTGATTACTCAAGAAGTTTCCACAATTTTTCATTATCATTCATTGTATATCCTACATGTTTCCTGACTAAAAATCTAGTCAATTCCTCGAGAATGAATTGGATATGTGAAACTCGCCAGTTTTATCTAAAACCTGGATTCTGTTTTAAATGAAATTTCAAGTAAAGTTGTCTGCAAAGCTTCCTGGATTTTTGATGAAATTGGCTTTGCTTACAGAACAAAACCTCCATCCAAAGAGTTACAAATCCCCTCCTAGTACAAATCTATAGAAAACCTTGTCACTCTGAGATCGTTGGAGAAGCTCTTTTTAAAGAATTGTCCGGGTTTTCCTTCACCTTTCCAGCTACACAAAAGCCGGGTGGAATCTCTGGGCATGAAGCATTTCTTTATTGCCTGAGCAAGATGCGGGGTTTGCCTAAGTGGTTATAGCGGAATTTACTTTGCCTCTGCCTTTAGACTTTCCCTGTCTGGCAGTATTCCAGTCTTCGTGCTTCCTTCTGGTGGCATGGCAGTTAGGCACCGAAAGGGTGCTACAGTTGAACGATGTATCGTAAGAGTAAATATCAGGTTGCATAACAAACTCAAACTGAACGTCACCACCTTGGGTTCAACTCATACAGTTTTTTCCTCGACAGCGCTTAACTAACTAACCAGTCGTTGGCTGCATTGTCCACCAATGCCCAATGTCGATTTCGTATTCACCAGGGGTACTCAACACAAAAATTAGTGTTTGATGTTCATTAATGCTACAAAACAATTACACGTGATTTTTATGGACTGAACCCAGTAAAATGCCGTTAGATAAATTGTGTATGAGGAACTAGTGACAAAATTGCGGTGCTTCCTATCGGAGTCTCAGATTATGAGAATCTTCCGTGTGAGTCAAATCATTTTCTCAGTATGTCAGGCAAAAGTCCATTGGGTAACAATGAAGTGCCCCCTAAAGACTTAGTCCAGCAAGGACCTCCAAATCAAAAACTACGAGCTTCGGATCTCCGAAAGATGATTTGATAAAGAAAGGTGAAAGTAAATAGAGGATAAATTGGATGATACTACTCGTTTCCTACAGCATGTCGTCGCACTGGTGGTCCATCACTATAGAAACTGGATAGTGAATATCAGTCAGGCTACTTTCTCAGAATTATTTACTCATCCTCATGAACCTACACAGCAATATCCCCGTAAATACAGTTTGAAGTAATCAGTTGTTTCGAATCGCGTGTTATTTGTGTGGTGCTACTAAAATGTGCTTTCTTGGATGAAAAATCACCGCAAAAAAAACATTGTGTGTGGTCTGACATTCAAATTACGCACCAAGTCCGTTCGTTTGGTGGTGGTAAAGAATACTGCCTACGTGGTAGTCTTTTCTACAACAAAAATATGCAGCCAAATATCCACATCTTCCTGAGTGGTATCAATCAGCCTCACTGTGTTTAAGAGCGTGGTAATCCCATCCAATTACATAATCTGTTTAGCCAATGGCGACGTGTACTGTGCACCGTAGTACAGCATCTTTGAGAGGTATCTGAATGCGATGTCGTTCTCGAAACATTTTGACCGTGCTAGTACATTTGGTTGTGACAGAATCCGCCCTGGTAGATTCAAAATATTATCCAGGA